CCCTCACTCCTCCCAGTTTCCTTCGACAGAGGCTCCGTTGCAGACGCGTCACATGGACGTGTGGGGCCCTGCCCGCGTCCGTGGACTCGGTAACGAGCGCTACTTCCTGTTGGTGGTTGACGACTACTCGCGTTACACCACAGTCTTCCCCTTGCACAGCAAGGGTGATGTCACTGAGGTGCTGATCGACTGGATCCGTGCAGCTCGTCTCCAGCTCAGGCAGAGCTTTGGCTCGGACTTTCCTGTGTTGCGTCTGCACTCAGACAGAGGCGGAGAGTTCTCCTCTGGCCTTCTGCGTGCCTACTGTCGTGCACGAGGCATCCGTCAGACCTTCACGCTTCCGGACTCACCGCAGCAAAATGGGATTGCTGAGCGCCGCATTGGCATGGTCATGGACGTCGCTCGTACGTCTATGATGCATGCGGCTGCCCCCCATTTTCTGTGGCCGTTTGCGGTCAGGTACGCGGCGCATCAGATCAACCTCCACCCCAGGGTCTCCAGGCCGGAGACCTCCCCAGCCCTGCTGTGGACGGGGAAGGTTGGCAATGCGTCGGCGTTCCGGGTCTGGGGATCTCGGGCGTTTGTCCGCGACTTGTCTGCGGACAAGCTGTCCCCTCGCGCTGCTCCCTGCGTCTTCCTGGGGTTCCCCCCTGACGCCCCTGGGTGGCAGTTCTACCACCCCACCTCTCGCCGTGTTCTGTCCTCCCAGGACGTCACGTTCGACGAGTCGGTGCCCTACTACCGCCTCTTCCCCTACCGCACGCCGTCCCTCCCCCACCCCCGCTCTTCTTGGTACCAGGTCCCCCCCCGGTAGACCCCCTTCCCCCTCAGGGTCCTGCCCCTTCAGGTGTGTCTCAGGTAGACGCGGTCGAGCCTGTCGAGGTCACTTGTGACTCTGGTGCTGCTGTGGGTGCTGAGCCTGGGGGTGCTGTGACTTAGGGTACTGTGCCTGGGGGTGCTGAGTCTGGGGGTGCGGAGCCTGGGGGTGCAGAGCCTGGGGGTGCTGAGCCTGGGGTGCTGAGCCTGGGGGTGCGGAGCCTGGGGGTGCTGAGCCTAGGGGTGCTGAGCCTGGGGGTGCTGAGCCTGGGGGTGCTGAGACTGGAGGTGCTACGCCTGGAGGTGCTTTGCCTTGGGGTGCTGAGCCTGGAGGTTCTTTGCCTGGAGGTTCTCCGGGTGCTTTGTCTCGCCGAGAGCCACTCTGCCCGCAGGAGCTGCGTGAGTGCTTTGCCCGGCGCTGGAGGCGTGCTGCTGGTGCTGGAGGTTCTTTGGCTGCTGAGGGTACTGCTGCCGCGGGTCCCGGAAGTGCTCGTACTGGGAGTGCTGGAGCTGCTGGGCCTGCGGGTTCGACTGGAGCTGGTGCTGCTGAGGGTGTTGGCGCTGCGACTGTCCCTGGAGGTCCGACTGGCGGTGATCCTGGTGCTGCTGGCGGTTCTGGGGCTGCTGGAGGTGCTGCTGGGGGTTCTGGAGCTACTGGAGTTGCTGCTGGATGTGCTGCTGGAGCGGGTACTCCTGCTGGGGGTACTGGTGCTGTCCCTGCTGTTTCTGGCGTCGCCACGCGGCCCCGACCGTACTTCGTTCCACTCCTGCAGCAGGTTCTTGGTCTTAACACCTTCTCCTGGTCCTCCTCCTTCTCCCTTAGCGGTTCCACAGCCTGTCCAGTCACAGTCCCAGCTACAGCCTGCCTCCCCTTTGCCTGCTCCTTCTCCCTACGCTGGTCCGACTGGAGGTCTTACTAAGCGTCGTGAGCTTGCGTCTCGTCCTGCGTCACCTGTTCGTGCTGCACGCACTAGTGGTCGCGGTTCGCGTTAGCGTCCTCCTCCCGTCCCTGGCACGCACCGGATGTCTCTGCGTCCGTCTACTGCTCCTCTGCGTGCACCTTTGCCTTCTCCTCCTGCTTCCTCTCTTCCTGCTCTTGCCGACCCGGAGTCGGACTCTCTTCGTGATGCCAGTCCTACTGTCACGCGTCTCCTTGCTACTGTCGTCACTGACCCTTCTTTCGAGTCCACTGTTGCGTCTACCCTTGTTACTGATCTCGTCGACTTTGCCGCTCGCTGTCGCCTAGACTACGCTGCTAGTCTTGTCGCTGAGTCTGAGTCTGCCTGTCCTCCGTCCGTCGGGGGTGAGTGTGCCCTTGGCACGGACGTCCTTGAGGACAGGCAGGAGGAGTTCCAGTGTCTGGCCGCCGCTTCACCTCATCTCGTGTCCGTACTGCTCACCCCTAAGGGAGACCCGGATGCACTTGACATCCCGACTCCGCGCTCTTACGCGGAGGCGATAGAGGGTCCCTACTCCTCTCAGTGGCAGGCAGCTATGGATGCAGAGATGGCTTCCTGGAAGTCCACAGGCACCTACGTTGATGCTGTCCCCCCTCCTGGGGCGAACATCGTCAGTGGCATGTGGATCTTCAGGGTAAAGTGGCCGCCGGGTTCTCCGCCTGTCTTCTCCCCCACCCCGAAGATGACCACTCTTCGGGTACTGCTGCACGTTGCTGCTCACCGTGACTACGAGCTGCACTCTCTCGACTTCAGCACTGCTTTCTTGCAGAGCAGCCTGCACGGGGAGATCTGGCTGCGCCGCCCACCTGGCTTCACTGGGTCTTTCCCTTCTGGTACCCAGTGGAGTCTCCGGCGTCCAGTCTACGGTCTCCGCCAGGCGCCGCGTGAGTGGCACGACACACTGAGGACTACGCTGGCGGCACTTGGGTTTGCTCCTTCCACTGCAGACCCGTCGTTGTTTTTGCGCACCGACACCTCCCTGCCGCCGTTCTACATCCTCGTGTACGTCGACGACTTGGTCTTTGCCACAGCTGACACTGCTGGACTCGCCTACGTGAACTCCGAGCTGCAGAAGAGACACACGTGCACTGACCTGGGTGAACTGCGCAGCTACCTTGGCTTGCAGATCACCCGGGACAGAGCACGCCACACCATTACCCTGACTCAGTCACACATGGTGCAGCAGGTCCTTCAGCGCTTCGGCTTCACGTACTCCTCGCCTCAGGCCACTCCTCTGCCTACTCGCCACTCGCTCTCAGCTCTGCCTTCGGATGAGTCCGTAGAGTCGAGTGGCCCATATCCTGAGCTTGTTGGCTGCCTCATGTACTTGATGACCTGCACTCGACCTGACCTTGCATACCCTCTTAGCATTCTCGCACGCTATGTTGCTCCTGGGAGACACCGACCAGAGCACATGGCTGCAGCGAAGAGGGTGTTGCGCTACTTGTGCAGTACGTCGGGCATGGGGCTAGTGCTTGGAGGGCAGAGTCCAGTGGTCCTCACTGGGCATGCGGACGTTTCTTGGGCTGACGACCCGGCTACGCAGCGGTCGTAACAGGGTTACACCTTTGGTCTTGGTTCCGGCTCTGTTTCGTGGCGGGCTACCCGCTCGTCTTCTGTTCTCGGCTCCAGTTGTGAGGCTGAGATCTACGCCGGGGCTATGGCTGCCCAGGAGCTTTGCTGGCTCACCTACCTGCTTACCGACCTTGGAGAGCCGCCTCGTTCTCCTCCAGTCCTGTACGTAGACAACAAGGCCATGCTGGCCTTGTGTCGAGAGCAGCGACTGGAGCACAGGACAAAGCACATTGCTCTCCGCTGCTTCCTTGCTCGTGAGCTACAGCAGCGTGGACAGTTGCGACTTGCGTACGTGGCCTCTGAGGCCAACACTGCTGATGTCTTCACCAAGGCACTTGCGCCTTGTGATCATCAGCGCTTCTGCACGCAGCTGGGTCTTGTGCCTGTCTTGCCTCACTTGCTCACCTCTTGACCTTGTTTGTACTTTCACATATATATACTCTTGTTCTTGCTTGCTTAGACTCTTGTATATCTATATATGTGATCTTGCATGTAAACTGGCCTTCTGGCCCTTGAACTTGTGCTCGGAATGTGTGGTGACTTTGTGATCCACCCTGAGCTTTGCCTTGCTTTGCTTGACTGGTCTTGTGACCCCTTGCTCTCCCCCACTTTGCCTATGGGGGTGTGTCAGAACATTATAGCTTACTTATTTGTGTACGCTATAGTGGGGTATCCCATAGGGGGTACAACCCAATTAGGGTTTCCTATTTGTACTCACTTCGTTCATAGTCAAATCATTCTCGTTCAATTCTTCTCAGCGTTGCAACGAACTTACGACCCCGCGTCGTTATGCTCCGTGCGATGCCTTCCATGGAGGGGAGGGGTGGATGTTGATTTGGTGGACAAGGAGGAGGACGACGTTCAGGCTGAGGGTGGGGCTATCTGGTATAGGGCCCCATACATGATGGATGCACGGATGTTGAAAAAATGGGGGATAGTCTGTAACTATGGTAACGCAGGACACATGTTACGATATTATTACCGAGGTTTTGCGTGCGTTTGTATGTCTCAATCACAATGAAAATGGAATTTTTAGTCTGAAAAAAAATATAACATGGTGCAGTATTTGGAGCCTTATATATATAATTGTTTGAGGTGGAGGGGGGGGCTTCTATTAGCGTCTAGTTGTCTTATTTTTCTGTTCACTAGGTGGAATTGACATGAGCGTGAATTTAGGTAGTCAGCTCGGTTTCACGTTGTAAACACTCCTTTGATTGCAACCCTTGCCCAGAGCATCAAACCCTAGTCCTTGGCAAAACCCCTCTCAAACCTGAAACCCGCGATATGCTTCCCAGTGCAGCAACAGCAGCACGAGCAGCAAGAAATCGCGCAATCACGAGAAAGCATCACCCATTAGCTGCGTTTCCTGCGCTTGCACCTTGGGCCTCGGCGCTAGTACCTGGAGGAGCATCATCTCGTGCCCTGCCGTCCGAGTTAATTCGAGGAGCATTCGAGTCTCCATCCGCATCAACCTTCGCCACCAACTTTCGCAAACGATCGCTAGCAAAATCGCTCTGCGAATCTGTACTTTCTTTCGCCAGCCGCCCGTTCCACGTCGCGTCTCCCAATCTTCTCTCGTCGCTGCGCAGCACCGGGCCTGCTTCTACCGAACCAATCACCGAACCGTTCGACTTGGCCACTGCAGCGCGAATGGCGGGTGGGAAAGCTCCTCGAAAGGGCAAGGACGGCGCGTCGCGGAGATTCCAAGGAATCGAGTTTCAGAAGAGCAAGGGGCAGCACATTCTGAAGAACCCCATGGTGGTGCAGTCAATCGTGCAAAAAGCAGGCGTCAAGTCGACGGACACCGTGCTCGAAATCGGACCGGGAACGGGTGAGCCTTATTTTGAGTCGTCTCAAAAGTCATTCTGAAGAACCCCATGGTGGTGCAGTCAATCGTGCAGAAAGCAGGCGTCAAGTCCACCGATACCGTGCTCGAAATCGGACCGGGAACGGGTGAGCCTCGAAGCCGATGACACGTGTCGGTGTCGCTCGAATGTGCGTCTGCGATTGAAAGAGCGGGTGAGGGTTTTGTACCGTCACGTGGGAACGGAACGGGTGTGCGAGCGTCGAACTCCGCACCGTGCTCGAAATGGGCCCGGGAACGGGTGAGAATTGAAGCCGGCAGCGAGGCGGAAAATTGAGTTAGCTATTGAAAGCGTGGGTGAGGTAGAGGTGAGTTGTTGTTGGGATGCGCGGTGCGGTGCGGCGCGCGAAGGTGTGCTGAGGTTTCGTATCGGAACGAAACGAGACGGAGCTTTTTGAGGGGGAAAGCGGGGCGGTGAACGTTCTGCCTCGCTGCCCCCACGCTTCTCCCGTGTGCCGTGTCTCGTGTAAATTCCTGAGCCCGGGAAGCAGCTGCACTCACGAGTGTCTTACATCGTCCATCCTTTCCGCTTACCGCCGCGTGTGTCGCGCTCATTACGTTTCTCTCTCTTAGGGACATAACTACTACGTCTCCGCTATCTTCCCACCAAGTAGGCTCTTCCCTTCGTCCCCCCCTTAATAGTTCCTCCCCGTTCTCCCCCCTTCCGCCCCCCATTCTCCCCCCTTCCGCCCCCCATTCTCCCCCCTTCCGCCCCCCATTCTCCCCCGTTCCCCCTCACGCAGGCAACCTGACGGTGAAGCTGCTGGAGGCGGGGAAGCGCGTGGTGGCGGTGGAGTTGGATCCGCGCATGGTGCAAGAGCTCTCGCGCCGCGTGCAGGGCACGCCGCTCGAAAACAAGCTGCAGGTGGGCGCGCGCGTGCACGTGTGAGGCACGTGCATGTGGGGGGCACGTGCATGTGGGGGGCACGTGCATGTGGGGGGCACGTGCATGTGGGGGGCACGTGCATGTGGGCGGTACGTGCATGTGCCCCTTACTCCCCTCCCCTACCAGCACCTCCCCTTTTCTCTCCTCCTCTCCTCCCCTCCCCTCTCCTCCCCTCCCCGCTCCCCCCTTTCCCGCTCCTGATCCTCGACTTCCCTCTTCCATCTCCTCCCTATCCTCTCATCAATTCTCGCCTCCTCCTCTATCGTCTCCTCTCCTCTCCTCTCCCCTCCTCTCCTCGGCTCTCCTCTCAGCTGATCCCACCCCACTCTTCACGGTTCTCCTATCTTCAATCCCCCATTGTTTCCAGCAGCTAATCCTCCTGGTCGACACACTTCGCATGCACCTGCCCTTGCCACTCCGCTCCTCTCCTCTCATCCGTCCCCTACTACCCCCCCATCCCCCCTCTCCCCCTTCTTTTCCCCCCCTACACCTTCTTCCTCCCTCTCTTCACACACCGCGCCCATCCTTTCCCATTCTCCACCCGTCAACTGTCAACCCCAACGCGTCAATCCCCAGCGCCAGCCTATGTCTCCCTCACACAGCATCCAGGGAGACACCCTCAAGGCGAACCTGCCTCTTTTCCACGATTTCTCCCCCCTTTTTCAATCCGCAAACCTTTAACCCCGAACCCTGAGCTCCAACCTATCAACGTCCCCACCCAATCCTTCATCCCGCCACCCCCAATCCATCAACCTCCCACCCCCAAGCCTCCAAACACCCAACCCCAACCCTTGTCGCCACACCCAACCCCTCCCCACCGCAGATCATCCAGGGCGACATCCTGAAGAGATGGTGGACCTACCGCACTTTCCCCTGACATCTGCGTCGCCAACATCCCTGCCTCTCCCCTCTCAGATCTCCCCCTGTGGCAACCCGCAAAACTCCTCCCCTCCCACCCCACCCCCCCCCCCCTCCCACACCCCCTCACCACCCCACCGGCCCGAATCTTCCCACCGCAGATCATCCAGGGCGACATCTTGAAGGTGGACCTACCGTACTTTGACATCTGCGTGGCCAACATCCCGTACCAGATCTCCTCGCCCATTGTGTTCAAGCTGCTCTCGCACCGCCCGCTCTTCCGCGCCGCCATCATCATGTTTCAAAAGGAGTTTGCGCTGCGCCTGCTTGCTCGCCCGGGGGATAACCTGTACTGTCGCCTCAGTGCCAACTCGCAGCTGCTCGCGCGCATTCACCATCTGCTCAAGGTGAGAAGGCATGGTGCTTGGCACGAGGCAGCAGCATCACCATGTGTGGGGGGTATGGAGGGGTGGAGGGGGAAGGGGTGGGATGAGCGGGTGTGTGGATGTGTTTTGTGGGTGTGGTGATGGGGGTGTCACGGTGGTGGTGTGTGTGTGTGTGTGTGCGCGTGCGTGTGCATGTCTGTGTGCGTGCGTGTGCGTGTGCGTGTGCGTGTGTGCGCGCACGCGTGTGTGCATGCTGTGTGTGGTGGGGGAAGAGGGGGGGTGTGGGGATGGGTGTGTGGGCGGGTGCGTGCGCGTGTGTAACAAATTGTACCTTCTGTGTGTGTGTGGGCTGCCCTTGTTATGCTCCCCACAGCATATGCACGTCTCGTTCCGCGTCACATCTCACGCTTATGCTCGCTCCAATCGGCCCAACACAATGTCCATTCGCCTTCCCCACACACCACGAGCGCTACCTCTCCCAGCTTGACCCCTCACAGCTTTCTCCCTCCCATCCCCACCACTTCCCCTCACTGCTCCGTCTCACCCCTCCCCCGGCACCAGGTGGGGCGCAATAACTTCCGCCCGCCACCCAAGGTGGACTCAAGCGTGGTGCGCATAGAACCACGGCACCCGCTGCCGCCAATCAACCTGCAGGAGTGGGACGGGCTGCTGCGCCTCTGCTTCTCGCGCAAGAACAAAACCCTAGGCGCCATCTTCCGCCAGAAGAACGTCCTGAACCTGCTGCATGAAAACATGCTCACCTTCCAGGCGTTGCAGGCTGCCGGTGGGGTGGCAGCGGCAGGGCAGGGTGTGGCGCAGGGACGTGCTGCTGATGTGTTCATGAAAGATGATGACTGGGAGGAGGGCGAGGTGGAGGATGGGGAGGAGGAAGATGGTGTGGAAGCGATGGAGGAGGAGGGTGAAGGGAGTGGAGGGAAGGGAGGGAAGGGAGGGAAGGGGAGGGGAGGGCCATTGCCTGAGTTCAAGGAGAAGGTGTTGGATGTGTTGAAGGCGGAGGGGTATGAGGACAAGCGGTCGTCCAAGCTGTCTGAAGATGACTTTGTGCATCTACTAGCTATCTTTAATCGTGCAGGAATTCATTTTGGGTGATTTTGACAAACATCATTCGCTAGGGAGTGTTTGAAAACCTGTAAACGCATGTGAAAAGTGCAATGGAATAAGCAATTAAAGGATTCCACCCAAGGCAAACTAACTGTGACGGCCAACATTGGGTTTTTGCCATGTACGAGTTGAAAGCTCGTTATGATAATTGTCTTTGTGACAGGCTGACATGGATCTGTGGCGCAATGGTAGCGCGTCTGACTCCAGATCAGAAGGTTGCGTGTTCGATTCACGTCAGGTTCAATGCCTGAGTTTTGTTGGCCCACACTTTGTAGAGTCATCGTTGCGCATAACCCTACCCAACCATTCTGGCTTGTGAATAATAAACCTCTGAAGATCGTACGAAGCCCGATTGAGCCACAACCTTGCATACTGTAAGGAAATTCCCTTTTCCTTACTTCGCGTCCCTGCCCAGCGCGTACGTCACTGTAGCACCTCAGTCAGCACCGTTACCACTCGCGACCATCGCATCATTCATCACCCCGCCTTTTTCGCACATCGCATCCCGACCTCACGGCTCGGCTGGTAACCCGCGCTCCGGGCCTACGCTTCGACATTTTCCCAGCCTCAGTCTCAGGCTCGACGCGCGACAACCACAGTCCATTACCGTTACCACTATTGTTTCGCTATATAATCCTTCGCTCATGCCTTCGCTCATTGTACTTTTGCTTCGATAGTGCAATTTTCGTTCGTTCACTCAATTGCACACGTAACACTTGGTATTCAGAGCCTACGATCTCATCTCGGACCGCATCCACACCTTCGCTTCCCACTATCTCAATTTTTGGGGGGGGTAGACGTCTCTCAGCGACACAGCACCGCCGCTCGAAGTGCTCTCTCGCAAGCACGCACGGCCACGACCGAGGCTCTCGCTGAGCTTGCCCGACACCCCCGCCATGGCCGACCTCAATCTCGCCACGTTGACGCAGGAGCAACTCGATCGTCTCGTGCGACAATTGGAGGATTCGGCGCTTGAAATCGCGACACTCACGGCGGAACGTGACTCCGCTCGTCAACAGTCAACGGTGAATGCTCCGACAACATCCCACGCACCAACCAATGTCTCTGTACATTCGGAGGAGCCGATTATCATTTCATCCGGCACACCAACGCAACACAACAGCACGGGACAGCGCTCAGGCGCAGCCAGTGACGGCGCAGCCCAACCGATGCCCGGCATGGGAGGGAACAGGAGCACGCTAAGCCCACGGGAGCCCCGAGAAGCCCGTCGGCACGTGGAGTTTGCGACGACAAGTGGTGAAAACGCCATGATGGCCCCAATGCCACTCAAGCCGCAACGCCCGCCCTGCTTCGACCCAAGCCAACGCGGCGGCCCGACAGTTTAATCGTGGGTCTTCACGATGAATGTGTTTTTCGACGCCAACTACGTCGAGTCGGACGCCGCCAAGATTCGGTATGCGGTTTCACTACTCAGGGGCCCCGCCATGGACTGGTGGCGAGTCATCGTGACGTCGCCACGCGCCTACGAGCCACCGTCGCACGAGGAAGGGCCCTCGGGTCCAGCTGTCACCTGGAGTTCGTTCTGCGAAACAGCCCAATACAGCACGTGGGATGCGTGGTGCGCAGGGCTTCGGGCGCGTTTTGAGCCGATCGCGGCTTCGATTTCGGCGCGTCAGAAACTGCGCACTTGGCGCCAGCTCGGGTCGGTTCAAGACTACACCAGCGGTTTTCTCGCACTTTGCGAACAGGTCGGCTACATGCACGAGGCGGAGCGGGTGGACCGTTACGTCGGAGGGCTGAAGCCGGACATATTGTCAAACATAATATATGTTATGCTTGTGTAGGCTACAGTGGGTTAGCCTATAGGGGGTACACAATTCTAGGGTTTCCTACTTGTACTCATTTTCATTGCTAGTTCATTCATTCCTGTTCGCTTATTCTCATATGGTATAGAGCGGGTCCTTCTACGGACCGTTTTTTTTGGGCCCACCGAAGCGCCCCCCGAGGCGCGATCTTTTTTTTAGCAACCCCTCGGGTCGCCATTTCCCCTGCGGCCCCGCCGCCTTCACTGACGCGGCCCCGCCGCCCTCTCTGTCGCGGCCCCGCCGCCTGCTCTCACGCGGCCCCGCCCCGGCTCCTTCGCGGCCCCGCCGCCTGCTCTCGCGCGGCCCCGCCCCGGCTTCTACGCGGCCCCGCCCCGGCTTTCACGCGGCCCCGCCGACGGCTTTGTCGCGGCCCCGCCCAGGCCCTTACGCGGCTCCGCCGCCTGCTCTCACGCGGCCCCGCCGCCTGCTCTCGCGCGGCCACGCCCCGGCTTCTACGCGGCCCCGCCCCGGCTTTCACGCGGCCCCGCCGACGGCTTTGTCGCGGCCCCGCCCAGGCCCTTACGCGGCTCCGCCGCCTGCTCTCACGCGGCCCCGCCCCGGCTCCTTCGCGGCCCCGCCGCCTGCTCTCGCGCGGCCCCGCCCCGGCTTCTACGCGGCCACGCCCCGGCTTTCACGCGGCCCCGCCGACGGCTCTGTCGCGGCCCCGCCCAGGCCCTTACGCGGCCCCGCCGCCTGCCCCCGTCGCGGCCCGGTCACCTCCTGACGGCCCCGCCGTCCCTTCCTGACGGCCTCGCCGTCCCCTCCTGACGGCTCCTGCCGTCCCCTTCTACCGGCCCCGCAACTGCACCTGCTGGCCCCGCCGCTGCACCTACCGACCCCCCACCACCCACCCCCCCTTTTCCCGTCGCCTGTCGAGGCGACCTGAGGGGGCCGCTGCAGAGGGGTGGCAGGTGTGTGGCCTCCCCTGCTTCTCCTCCTCCTTCATCTCCCACTGCAGCAGCCGAGCCGCCCCACAGCCGAGCCGCCCTGCCGCCGAGCCGCCGGGTCGCTGAGCTGCTGAGCTGCAGTTGCTGCCGAGCCGCCCTGCCGCCAAGCCGCCGAGTCACCGAGCTACTGAGCTGCAGTTGCTGCTGAGCCGCCTTGCCGCCGAGCCGCCCGAGTCGCCCGAGCCGCCGAGCCGCCGAGCTGCCGAGCCGCTGAGTCGCCGAACCTACTCTTCCCACCACTGGTGAGCTCTTGCCCTGCTAGCACGCTGCGCGTCGCCTGCTTGCCTGCCTTTTGGCTTGCCTGGCTGCCTGCCTCCCTGCTGCTAGTCCTGCTCCTGCTTCTACTTGCGGAGCCAAATGCAGCCCCAGCGACGCCGGCGTGAGTCCCTCACGCCGCAGCAGCTGCGTGAGTGGTACGCTGGTTGGGGCTGTAGGGGTGGCGACGCTACTCCTACTACCACTCCTGCTGCTTCTACTCGTGGTGGCAGCCAGATGCAGCTCCCGCGACCTTCTCGCGTGTCTCTCACGCCTCGCCAGCTTCGTGAGTGGTACGCTCAGAGTGGAGGGTCTCTCAGTGCTGTTCGCTGCTCTTACGTGATTCGCACTGGTACTCGGACTGGTCAGCCTTGTGGGACACGTAGTCATACACCGTCCCGCTGCTTCGCCCGTCTGAGCGACGCCTGGCGTACCGTGTTTGGCGACGAGGCTGAGCTTCCCGACTGGGTGGAGTTGCTTAGGCAGAGGGTAGATATATATGCTCTTGACTATGATGCTATTCTCACTGCCATGTATGCATTGCCTACTAGTGCTAACCGTGCAGGTCACCTGTGCGTCCCGCCTGACCCAGGTATAGGACCTGCTGCTCTAGCTACTGGTGAGGCTGCTGCTCTGGGTGCTAGTGAGTCTCCTGCTCCAGGTACAGGTGCGGCTGCTGCTCTAGGTGCTAGTGAGTCTGCTTCCTCAGGTGCGGGTGAGGCTGCGCTCTCAGGTACCGCGTTGGCTTCGGCCTCCCTCACCTTTACACTTGACTCTGGGGCTTCTCGCTCCTTCTTTCGGGACCGCACCACACTCACGCCGCTTGGTCGGCCGGTTGCAGTCTCCCTGGCTGACCCCTCTGGGGGTCCTGTCCTCGCTCACTTCTCCACTGTCCTCCCGTGTCCGGCTGCCCCCTCGGGCACCCTTTCTGGCCTGTACCTCCCCTCGTTCTCGACGAACTTGGTGAGTGGTGCAGACCTACAGGATGCGGGGGTTCACCAGTTCACTCCTGCGAGTCAGCGGGTGACCCACTGCACGGACGCACGCACAGGCCGGCACCTGGCCACGTTCTCGCGTCGGCCGGGGTCGAGCCTCTACACCCTGACCACTGAGTCTCCTCCTGTCCCCGCGTCCGGTCAGGTAGCAGCGTCGGGTCAGGTGTTTGCTGCTGCGTCCAGGTCTGGTCCTGAGTCTGCCCCCTGTACTTGTCGCCTCCTGTCTCACGAGACTCTCCTGTGGCACCACCGTCTTGGCCACCCCTCCTTGCCCCGTCTTCGGAGCATGGCTTCCCGTGTCCTTGTCTCTGGTCTTCCCCAGTCTCTCCCTCCTCTCCCCTCCGGGCCAGGACCTTCCTGTGTCCCCTGTGTCGAGGGTCGCCTCCGGGCTACTCCTCACTCCTCCCACTTCCCCCCGACAGAGGCTCCCCTGCAGACGCTTCACATGGATGTGTGGGGCCCAGCCCCCGTCCGTGGGCAGGATTACGAGCGCTACTTCCTGTTGGTGGTTGACGACTACTCGCGTTACACCACAGTCCTCCCCTTGCGCAGCAAGGGTGAGGTCACTGAGGTGCTGATCGACTGGATCCGCGAGGCTCGTCTCCGGCTCAGGAAGAGCTTCGGCTCGGACTTTCCTGTTCTGCGTCTGCACTCGGACAGAGGCGGAGAGTTCTCCTCTGGCCTTCTGCGTGCCTACTGTCGTGCGCGAGGCATCCGCCAGTCCTTCACGCTTCCGGACTCACCACAACAAAATGGGATTGCTGAGCGCCGCATTGGCATGGTCATGGATGTCGCTCGTACGTCCATGATGCATGCGGCTGCCCCCCATTTTCTGTGGCCGTTTGCGGTGAGGTACGCGGCGCATCAGCTCAACCTTCACCCCCGGGTCTCTCGGCCTGCGATGTCCCCAGCCTTGCTGTGGACAGGGAAGGTTGGCGATGCGTCTGTGTTCCGTGTCTGGGGAT